GTTGAGGGGCTTTCACCCAGCCCCTAGAGCCTGGCACTTTGAATTTGGACTTAAAGCCTCCAAACTGTGAGAGAGTAAACTCCTGCTTATTAAGGCCATCCCATTTTTGGTATATTCCTGTCAGAGTGGCACTAGGTAACCAGAACATTATGGTAGGCAGAATTCTCACATGCACCCTCCCTATTCCCCCCGAACAAAGATTTCCATACTCTAGTCTTCTGTACCTGTGATATGTTACCTTACATGGCAAAAGAGACTTTGCAGATTAAGGTTACACTTGAAATGGAAAGATTATTCTGAATTATCTGGGTAGGCCCAATCTAATCCCATGAGTCCTTAAAAGTAGAGAGCCTTTCCTAGCTGAGTCAAGGATGGCAGCATGAGAAAGATTTGATTCCTTGTATTGTTTTGGATCTGTAGAAGACTATATGCAAGGACTACAAAAAGGCTTCTAGGAGCTAAAGGTGGCCCTTGTTTGAAAGAGAACAGAGACCTCAGTCCTTTAACTCCATGGAACTGAATTCTGCCAACACCTCATAAGCAAGGAAATGGACTCTAGAGCCTCCAGAAAGGAATGGAGCCTGTCGACATGTTATTTTATCCCAGTGAGACCTATACCACACTTCTGATGTACAAAAATTAAGACAAATTTGTGTTGTTTTAAGCTACTAAAGTTGTGGTGATTTATTACAGCAGCAATAGAAAACTACTATACTTTTCAACAGCAAGAGAAGTCAGTAATATTTTCAAAAGGCTGAGAGATATTAACTGTTTATATGTTGTTATTAGGTGCTGTTGAGTCAATTTTGACTCACAGTGACCCCATGTAACAGAGTGGAGCTACCCCATAGGGTTTCCTAGGCTGTAATCTTACAGAAGCACATCACCAGGTCTTTTTCTTGCGGAGCCACTGGCTGGGTTCAACCACCAACTTTTTGGTTAGCAGCTGAGTGCTTAATCATTTGTGCCACCAGGGCCCCTTAATTCTTAATCTAGGATTAATATAATTAACTAAACTTTTATTTTACCTTCATTTTTGAACAAAGACACTCTAACTCCAACAAAAACTGAGCTTTAACAACAATAGATTTTCATGTAAGGAACTTAAAATCCAAAGAATGCTCTTCAGGAGCAGGGAGAAAGGAAAGAAAAATCTAAGCTACAAGAAGGCATGATGAACAAACAAACTGGTAAATATGGATAAATCTAAAACAGTCATTGCCTTTATAAAACAATAATACATGTTTAATTTGAGAAGCAATGTAAGACCAAAATAAAATACTGAAAAATGAACCATAAAAAATGATGGGAAAACAAACCAAACCAACCTGTTGCCCTCGAGTAGATTTCAACTCAGAATGACCCTCATAGTGATGGAGTAGAAATGCGCAGAGAATTTCCAAGGTTGTAAATTGTGGTAGTTAAGTCTGTATGTCAACTTGGCTGGGCCTGGTTGAGTGGCTGGGCAGCTGGATGTAGTATTCCCCATGATGAGACTGGTAATCAACTCCATGATGGAATCTACTGTGAGCAGCTGAGTAGCTGCCTTAGTGATGTGGTCTGCTTCCTGTATATAAGGAGAAGCCTTGGGGATAGTCTCTAGCATATGGCACGCTTGAACCCTGCATGTAGCCATGTCATTGTTCAGCAGCCTGCTATATTCTGCTGACCTTGGGACTGCCAATGGACTTAATGGCCTGCCATATGGTTTGGTAACATCGGGACTGTGCCTTTTTACTTGTCAACCTTGGGCTTGTCAGTCTCAGCAGGCAGCAGCTGTCTGAGTGAAGAAGAGCCTCTAGCTTCAGTGGGCTGGGAGCTGGAGGCAGAACTTAAACTCAAGGTTGAGGGGCTTTTATCTAGCCCCTAGAGCCTGGCACTTTGAATTTGGATTTAAAGCCTCCAAATTGTAAGAATAAACTCCTGTTTGTTAAAGCCATCCCATTTGTGGTATATGCTTGTCAGAGCAGCACTAGGTAACCAGAACATAAATCTTTATGGAAGTCTTATCTTTCTCCCATGGGACAGCTGGTAGGTTCGAACCACTGACCTTTTGATTAGCAGCTGAATGCTGTAGAATGATGGGAGGATGACTAGTCTTTTAAAGTCATTATATTATTCAAGGCGGGGGGGGGGGGTTCCAGTAAGATGGAAGAATAAGCAGACGAACTACACAGACCCTCTTTAACAAAAAAAAAGAGGAACTAATTAACACAGAAAATAATCCTGGAGCCCTGAGCTTTGAAAGGAAGGATACAGAAGTGGACTAAACTCCACCTAGTAGAAGAACCTGCATGAAAACACCGAAAAAGGAGACATACAGAGCTGCAGTCTGGCAGGGATCCTGATGGCACAGACAGCTTGGATATTGCCAAGTGGTGTTAGGACCTAAGAATTAACCTAAAAATCAGCACTGCTAGCCAGGGGCTGCAGAGAGGCCTCCACTGGTGTCTGGTGAATAAAAGGGGAAGCAGCAAAGAGAGAGATGGGCTGATCTGTGTATTTTTGGCTGTACAGAGGGTGCAGCCGTTTTGAATGTTTACAAGCCGTTTGACCATTTTGGATATTTAAAGCCACAGTGTTCTCTCAGATTCCAGGAACCTAAGATAGGCTCCACTTGCCAGGGACTGCAAGGACATTCTAGACACTGAGGACT